TTTTCGTCTCCCCTTAGCACAAACCTTGCTTGTACGTCGTCATCCGAGCTATGTACGGGGTGTACCAAGGGGTGAGCATCGAACGCAGTGTAGTTCTAGCTCCACATAGATGTAAGATTGTTGTCGAGGGACTGAAAATGTGTTGAGAAATTGCGAATTCTTGCGGGGTGATTGTATTGTGCCGCGAGAAGTCAGTGTAGGGATGACGACATGCTGTCACGGGCGGCGTGCAGGTCGGATGGCGTTGTTGTAAGTTGGAAAACACATGTGTGGACAGTGTTTTGCGTTGACTGTCCGAGTTTCGTGAACTTTCGTGATCAGGATGCGGAGTTATCGATGCGGAAAAAAATTCGTGTGCTGGGCAGCGCAGGGCAACTCGACGCGCAAATCAGACGAAACGGTGTTCATTGCCTTGTTCGCTCGCCTCGCCACCGTCCTTGCCGAGACTTGCGCAGCACGCCTATTTCGTCCTAGCGCATCGAGCCGCGGCCGGCATGGGGTTGTATCTTGCTCGGTTATGGAGTACGCCGTGGCGAAAAAATGCAAGGGGTTGCCCAAGAGGCGTCTCAGCGCCTCAGATTTGGGGGGGTATTGTACTTTTTCGCTGCGCTGCATGCGACGCGAGTTGAAACGCTCGCCGTGCTGGCGAGGGCTGGGGTGTGGGCAGGCATAACCGCGAACGTCGTCGTCGTGGCGGTTTTGTGGCGTTGTTGAGCTCAACGAATTCAGCCGCGGAGAAGCAGAGCAAACAGGTGTCCCAACTAAAAACAAGTCAAAGGGATTTTGAGCGAGACAAAATGCTTAGGTTTGGCGCCGGTGTCGCTTCGATTGAAATGTCTTCGACAGGGCCCTCGAGGGGTAGGTCTCGCGAAGGAACCGCCGCGATCTCATGCTCGTAGCTTTCGCGAGCAGAGAGAAATCAGCCGCGGTCAATTTCTTCCGGTCACTCTTTTCCCGGTCAAAAATCTCCGGTCAAGTTTCCTTTTAGTTTTTTTTTTCCGGAGCTGCTTTTATCGGGATAGCGCTAACTGAAACCCCGATTTGCAATTGGGGAATTGCCGAGGAAAGCCATTGCAACCACAACAGCTTCGGAATAGGAATGGTATGGCTTGAAGCAATGTGCGAGGTTGGCTCACTGGGGAAGGTTCAGGAGGTTCGCACGCGAAAAGGCAAACGTTGACGTAACGGCGCTCATCTCGGGGGCGATGTTGATCTATTCTGTAACAAGGTCGGCGTACAACAAAGTAAAACTCAATAACAGACGCATTGGTCACTTTCAGCCTCCCTGGGGTGCCACCCTGTGTTCATCGGGACAGTAAATTATGCCAATGGCGTCGTGAGCCCCCTCTACATCTCACAGGGAACATTGGACGGGGGGACACAACAACGAAGTTCATCACCCTGGGCGGGAAGAGGCAATCCGCTCCCTCCCCACTGGTCCGGTGAGAATCCGGCTTGCTCCGCCCCGGCTTTGTAGGGGAGCGAGGTCAATAGTCTAACGACTACGGCATGTACGGCTATTGAGTACCCCCACCCCTCCCCCACTCGCTAGCACACATTTCGCTGACGCTAGATTGATGACAACAACCAAGGGAATCGCGTGTCTTCGCGGCAATTTCAAACCTCGAAGCTATTATTGCCGACGTATTTAACGTTGACACCGTTTTAGGTCAAGCGGTCAACCTTGTAAAACACACAAAAACACCACCCGCCAAAGGACAAATCCAGGCCTCCTGACAGGTGTGCAGTTCTTCTGGGCAGGCGCATGAAGATCTTAGTCAACACAATCCAAACGTAATGCCCCCCTACCCCATAATTTGATTGACGGGTCTTGGACTGGTGGCCAAACGTCCTCACACAGCCAGCGGCGCACCACATAGTTCCATCTTTTTCCAGAAAGACGAACCCAGTCTGAAGAACAACCAACGCCACCACACAATAAGCACAATCGTTTATTTTATGTCTTGCGTGTTGTTGTTCCAAAGAACGATTTGGACCCCATTTCTGGTACATTTCCACTTAACACGCAGGTCATAACCCTCAGCAGTCACCGACACGAGGTGGGTGCCATGCTGAGGGCCATGACGAAAAGGGACGCCCAAGTCGCCCCTAGAACCTGTACTTGCACTTGGCTACGGACAGCTGGTGTACATGGAAGACGAACCAGTCGCACAAGACGCAAATCTCGAGCCTGACACTTTCTTCGAGCATTGTACAACCAGCCGATACGGTGGAAATTGCCACCTTGTCAATGAGCCAAAGGGGGGCTCATCCTTTTTGTTGGTTCCATTCGCTCTGCCCGATACTTTCCATCTCATCGTAGAAACCATCGTTCTGCAGAAACAATACAGCACGAGGAAGACAAACGGGGGTATCAAGGATGAGTACCTTTTTCATGCACGACACAAGGGACTAAGGCCGTTGTGGCAGGTTTTCCTACAAGTAAACAACGGAAATCAACCGATGATTGGTTGGATCTGTGTCAGAACAAATTGCCCTTGTCAGGGCCGCCTAATCCTCCGCTTACCTTTCATTCCCTCTTGTGTCGTCTTGTCGCCGAATATTTCTCGGTAAACTTATACTCGAAGTATGTAGTATGCATACTCAAAGACGGCGCCAAGAAAGACACTACTGATGTAATTACTGTTGTAGCTAGATACCTGATCCAAAGAGGTCGGCGATATATTACTGGCAGCGCTTGTATCTGCATAAATGTAAATCTAGAGAGACCAATCTACTGATATGCATACATAGATTGCCGTGTGCCCAAGGCTGCTTCCCCAATTGATTTGAATTATTTCAACTATTAGTGTCTGTTTTCTTTATGTCTCGGTAGATTGCATCACGAACGGAAGATAGTACTGTACGACCCTCCAATCCTCATTATTGCCAGGCGCACCACACGAGCATTTAGAGAGAGGCGGTTGAATGTTTTTTGCTTCAATTTTCTCTGTTTGTGTCTCGGGTACGATGATAGCGTTACGAACGGAAGAGAATAAAGGTATGCAACTGCTCTGCCCAGAGCATGGAAAAAAAAAGTATTGGGGAAAAAGCAGGGATTCAAAAGGTTCGAAACCCTCGAGTCTAGAGAAACAATTGAGAGGTCGGCCAAAAAGAAGGTTTGGGAAAAATAAAGAGCTCTAGCGCGGGACTCGAACCGCTGACTTTGGGAGTCTGGAGCCACAAAATGGTCGCTTTAGCACGTTCCGCCCACTCCAATAACAGGCATCAAATTCTTCGAGAACCCGTTTCCGCCTTTCGACAAGCTTCCCCTCTAGAAGTTTCAGCCGTGACCTGCAGTGACATTTGGAAGGGTACATGCTTGCTGCACGTTCAATACGGTCAGTTTTATTTAACCCTCTCAGTATTATAATGGACGCCCATATGGGGACACTTTGGGGACACAGCACTCAAACGTCTGTTTACCGCACCGTAGTCGCCCTAGGCTCCCCCGTGTGCAACGCACGTGAGCACCCTTACTCTATCATGCTTGGGCGGAGGTGGTACGCTGTGTGACATGCTGTGTGATGCCTCTCCTCGGCCCCTGACTTGCTGTGCAAAACCTCCCAAACCACGTGTCCCCTGGGCGGTAAAACCAGCCTGGTACTGGAACAAGTTGCTGAATTGGCTATAGTACGAAAAGTTTCCCCACGTGTTTTGGGGAGGGAACATTTTTCATACTGAAGCCAATTCACCCTTTGTATCCGATTTCTTTGGAGGGACTGTAGCCGATGACTAATAAATTTACTGCGATTTCTTTTTCGCGGAGTGTTCCGCACCAAATATATGTGCCAAAAACGAGAAACCCAGAAGGTGCTCAATTGGGGCATTGGTGCAAACCAAAACGGTGAGTTGAAGACCCGAATTATATATATGTACAAGTGCGGGAATGTTTATCGGTACGATGTGTGGTGCGCTTTGCGATAACATAATTGATGGTATCGTTTTAGAGTGCAACTCGATCAGTGCGTTGATCACGTTCTAGAGTGCTTGCACAGCAGTGGGAGGCTGTTTGAATCGCGAACTGGGCAGGTGCGGTGTAGCCGGACCGAACTTTTTAGATTTTACAAGCAACCAGGGGGATAGAGACTTTTTCCGCAACCAGAGTGCGCTTGCTTGTGCGTGAGAGCGGATCGACACTGTAGCGCGACGACGTCCTCTCACGCTCCGAAAACCTTGTGCGAGCACTATGTATATGTGACATGTAAATAGGCAAAGCAGACAGCTGCAGGGCGGGCGATGCGTTATTCTGTCGCTGTGTTGGCCGTCGAAGACCGTGTGGGTGTCTCTTCGCTTGTTTTTTTCGGAGGGTGCTGCTGCTGTATTTTCGCGGTGCATATTTTTCAACCACAAACGAAGGAAGCATATCCTCTCTGTAGAAAGCCTCGACTCTCAAGTGCAAGCAAGCTGTAGCTTACACACCCCACTGGATAATCGGAATAAATGCGGACATCATCGCGCCGGCGGACCATCGGAGAATCGGGGCATCGCGGCAAATCGGGAAACTCGAACAATATGGCCCGTGATTACCTCCGACAGTATTCGACGGAACAATTAGCTCACGACCAACCCCACACGAGCATGCCATGTAGTACCACAGCCATAGCAATAGCCAAAGTTACACACGGAACAGACGCATGGACACACACGAAATTCGCCATGTCGTGTGGATGTGTGCCCCCGGATTCAACGCTGCAATTCAACAATTGCAACTTCACAGTAACTTACCGCGCCATGACGAACATTTAAATCCCCGACTGCGAACCTCCTGCGAACCTGCACTACGGCAGTATCTATGTTTCTCTCATGCGCTGTATGCACGCTTACGCGTCTACTGCTACTGCTGCATCACACTCGATCCTCGCTCCTCGTACACACACACAATGTTCGTCATCTTCATCAGTCTACGCCTTCACCTACAACGTATGTATGTGTAAAACTCTCAGGACGTCGGCTGAGGAGGTCACGTGCGACCCTACGTCTATGTGTAGACGTTGTAGCTAAGTTCTATCCTTATGTGCTCCCTGTTCGCAACATAGACAATCAGTAGGATGGCATGAGCGCGCAACGCCTGTATGCTGTAGAATGGTAGAACTAGTCTACTGCAGCTGACAAGGCTACAGATAGATATACACGCATATATTAGCAAGCACACGGTCTCGTCGCAAATGGAAGAAAAGACAGCACCGGTCCAGTGAAGCAGTACCACCCGCGATGATTGGAGCAGCATATACGCATAGAGAGGCGGCGCTGCCATGTGATCGGCGCTTCTTGTCATGTAGAAGAACTATGCAACAACAATACAAGATCAGGTAAATCCCAACCGCACAAAAGGGAGTGAACGTCTCTTTCTCTTTGCGCGAAGTCGATTTCCCCCACATCATGCCACTGGAAAAATCTAACAACAGCAAAAGGATCGTATAGAGAGTATACATGCAGTGCCACTACGCCAGTGTGCCAGCGATGACTGGATGGCACTGAATATGCGATGCCTTGATCAACGTTTATTTGAGGTTCAGTCGGTGCGGTGTGAAACTGTTTGCAGCCTGAAACTCGCCCAATATTGCATAACGTGACGCACCTCCTCTTTTTGTTCCGCTTTGCGCTGCTCTATTTCTTCTTTCGCCTTTCCCTCGGCTTTCAGCACGACGCCAGATCCATCGTCCCACACCCACGTGGTTCCAGCAGGGTGTTCCGGAGGCGCTACCTGGGTTGCACGAAGGAAGTCCACACCGCATGAAAGACAACCCAGTACAAACGTTGCGAATGTGTCGAAACCAGCGCGAGATTGCGCATATCCAGCACAATTTTGCAGATGTGCACCGAGAACCGGGCAAATCATTTGAAGGGTTGAGAGAAAACTAGCGTACCCGACGTTGGCGCGCGTGATTTCGAGCACTAGAAGCTCGTGACGTGCCGGCATCCTTTATTCCTTCAAATTTGTATCAAACGACAAGGTTCCCCAAATGAAACAAACAGCTTCATGTGATGAGCAAGAAGTATCACCAAAACAAGCACATACCATATCAATGTTGGTGTGTAACAGCGCGTGTGTGTTATGTGCCTGTGTCTGTTCAAGAGCTGCACAACAAATCAACGTCTCTCATCTCTGTCTTCTTTCTCAGCTGCCGGGGTGTGCAGCGGCCGGAGAGATCACCTCTCTTGGAAAATAACACACAGTAGGAGCACACACGCATGTGTAGCCACGCCCTGCCGATCTCTTCTCGTTTCCACAGTGATAGCTGACAGAAGCATGAAGGACACACCCGTCTTTCTCCCCCTGACGTCCCCCCCTCATCCGCTTACTCAACTATGCAACATATCAATACAAAATACATCAGCCAGGCTGAAACGATGCCTCTCGCTGTTTCGGCCGGGATGGATGCCAACAAACAAATAGCGAACGAAGCAGACATCCGCTGCTACCTCGACCGACTGAGCACAGATTGTTGGTCAAATGGCCAGTGCGTGCAAGAACTGGCTTTTTAATTTGGTGCGTTGTCGGTGGGTGAGATGGGCTTGCGTCTGCTGCTGAAAAATCCGCCACGAACGAACGAGCACATACCTCACGGACAGCCTAGGGGCAAATTTCGCCGTGGAAGCATTTTATTTTTGTGCGGGCACACGCCTCTGTGAGTTTGCCTGGGGGGGGCGTGCATGCCGTAGTCGTTAGACCATTGACCCCGCATCCCTACAACGCCGGGACGGAGCACGCCGCACCGGACCAGGCTCTCACATCACCAAGCGCGAAGCGCCGTGAGGTATTCGGCGAGTCGCATGAAGGGTGCTCTGCATCCTGCTAAGGGTGTTCGGCATCTTGTGCTTGCTTCCTTGCGTACGAATGACAGCTGCGTATGACTTCATTTATTTTCTGGTGCCATCACTTCCAGAGACAGTTATAAGCACTGTGTAACTGCCTCGAGGATGCTTGACCATTATAAAAAAACGTGGTGCGATCATCCCCCTTGCGCGGAGTGAGGGTTCTTGACCCCGCACAACATGATCTACTCGACCACCATTCATGGTGAGTTTGCCTGGGGAGGTACCAAAAAGCAGTTAATTCGTCGCAAAACAAAACAGTCACTTTATCACGAATGTTGTGATCAGCGGGCCCTCAACCTATTAAAATACCACAAAGTCTGTGTTACGTAGCCCTATTGAATTTCAAGCATTTGACGTCAACTCACTTTTGGCCGCCCGTACTCCCCTTCCTCCTCCAAGGGTGTGGTCGACTTGGAGCTGCCTCGTGCCTTGACGTCCAACGTCATTTGCTCCGCCACAAGGAATGCCGCCGGCGCCCTGTGCAGGAAGAGACAAAACAAGCAATCAAAAATAAAGCATGCTCGAGAAGGGGCCAGCACTGACCAACGTGGGAAATTGGACCCAGAACAGATGGCCATAACGCACCCATGTTCCTTCCGTTCAAGTCCCCCGTCTCCTTCTCCCACCACAGGGACGTGCACCAACAGCTCGTTGACGATAGCATCGGGCTGCAAATCTCGTTTGAAGAACTTCTTGCTCAGAAGACTTGCGCAGTTGGGTCGCTCCTTTGGGTTCTTCTGAAGGCAGAACCGCACCACCTGCTGAGATGGGTTTCCGTGGTGCGACTCAAAAATTGTTCGCTCACGAAGAACCACTCTGTCCTCGCTTAGCACAGATTGATTCAGAGTTGACTTTCTCGGCAACAAAAACAAAAGAGTAAGGGACAAGGAATTTGAAGATAAAAAGCAAACCGCGAAATCGCAAAAACGGAACAAAAAGGTAGAAGCAAACAAGGGCTCCCTACGGAGTGGGGGTAAAGAGAGCACCGCGGCAAGGGGTGATGCAAGAACATGCAAAAAGCAATCAGAGAAAAAAGAGATATTTTATGCATATACCTAAGACTATTTCCGAAAGGGTTTGCGGCATTTTTGGAAGGTCGGCGAGCTTTGTGATGCTGCTGGGACTCTGCTGCACGGCTGCATTTCTCTCGTTCTAGATCATACATGCAGCTGTTCCATCTCTTCGGTGCTTCAGTTGTGGCAAGTTATTTTTGCCCTCTCCCGGACTTTCTGTCTCTTCTCGATATCCCTCTTTTTCCCGCTTTGTGTTGTTGACAATACACAGCACACCCAAGCGAGCACAATATCAGGTGTCATCGATTTGTTGTCTCTGCTACCGTGCTTTGTGTAGCGAAACTTCACGCCGATCGCGCTGGTATAGACGGAAAGACCCGGAGATCTCTATGTGACACAGTATCATCACGTAAAGCCGGTTGAACCGTGTCACTGCCCGGAGTAGTATTAGTGATATCGTTTGGCACAGACCGAACACGCAGTAGTGCCCTCCTGCTGGTTGTCGTCCATACTGTGCACCCTCAGTAGTGCCGGCTCAGGCCACGCAACTACTGCTGACCCCACGAAACAGACGCGCGTAAGCAGAGTGGCGCATAAAGCATGCCGTAGAGTTGTACGATGTTGCGTGCAGCAGGTGCACTATTCCAGCTGCAAACCCGCACGCCAGTAGCCCCTGATGGCCACACATGCCAGAGAGTGTAAATGTCATCGAGCGTGTACAGCAGCACACTTGCCGCAGGCGCAGCAGCCAACGCAAAACACAATTCTACTTTTCATTCTGCACTCTGATAGGTCCGGTATGCGGTGCTGTAGAAGTGTATTCCATCTTGACACAGGCTAGTGGTGGTCTAGTGGCCATTCTGCACGACTCCCTAGCGGCAGATTGTGGGCTCGAGTATCTCTCGGGAGGGTTTTTTGCCCGGGATTTACTTTCAGCAACCTGTAGTGAATAAGACACACTTCGGCCTCACGGTCGACGAGGGAAAGGGATGGCTGAACCCTTCTCGCGATAAAACTAAGGCAAGCACCGCAGGGGGAAAGGTAGGGCAATAAAACAAAAATGAAAAAATGAAAAAACTGTGTGACCGTCCTCTTGTGTGTTCCTCTTGTGAATCCGAGCTTATACGTCAGGTATATACGCCGAAAGGCCTGCAACATGGCGCCAGAACAGAAAAAATGGGATGAAACACACACACAAGGCACAATTTTTGCATGGTTTTTCCATCTCACACACAAGTCACAATTTTGGCATGGTTTTTTCCATCTTGTCTGTCAACCAAACTAATCTTAAATAGATTGCCGTGTGCCACGGCTGACCCCCAATTGAGTTTTTTTACTTCAAGTGCCGTTGTGTCATCTTGGTACACGATGGCGTCACGAGGCAGAATCCAAAACCCTCGTGTCAAGTTTCAATTTCAAGTGCCGCTTGTGTCTTGGCACGATGTCGTCACGAACGGCGATACTACAAGCAAGCAGAGCAGCTAGCTGCGATGTTTAATACTCCAAATCATCTCTCGGTATGATGCGGTGTCACCAACAACGCATTTAAATACTACTTTGTTGTACAATAGATAGATATACGTAGCATCTACCGATCGACCGCTGCTGCAGCGTAGCTAGGCTATTACGTCGAAGAGAGGACAAAGCTCATACATACAGCAGCAGTAGCAACCTACGCATGCATGCGTAAGGAGACAGACGCGAAATTGTTGAAATTTTGGCCCTACGGACGCAAGAGGAGCCATCGAATGGTCGGCACACACAGAATGTACTGGTGGAGGTGATAGATAGATGTGCAGCAGGCACACGATAGACAGCGCAATGGAAAGCGTGACATTTAGATGTGGTGCGGCAGGTACACGACTTACTACCCGCCTGTGCCCAAATTTTACGGCGGAACCAGGAAACAGAAACCGTTGATAGACATGATGAACTTGAATTTGCAACAACGGCAAGCAGACAGCAGCAGCGGCTCAAGCAACCAGAACCGATCCCGGGTAGCCATCGTGTGTTGCATACTGCTGCTGCTGCTGCTGCTGCTGCTGTAGGCTACCATCGACGAGAGGATAAAGTGCATACACATACAGCAGTACAGTGTAGTACTACGAAGGGTTTCGGCGGCTTCCGCCGCCGCACTTAAGGAAGCGATTCCAAGATACATGTTTTTTTATTGCGCAAAAGACACGGTTGATGAGTTTTGAACGATGTTGACCGGCTCTTCACTGTCGCAGCCGATCCCGAGATGAGTTTCTCATGCGATGTTTGGATGTGTGACGTGCTTTTCCCGACGTTCGTGTTCGGTAGTTGATGATGATGTGTTTTGAACGATGTTGACTAGCTCATTATTGGCGCTACTGCCAGGAGAGGCAACCGACTGAAACATACGGCGCCTTTCCGACATCTACGAAAGAGAAGATCTACGAAAGAGAAGAGTAGGAAAGAGACTGATAGAGTAGGATGTGGGAGAGCGCTGAGGAGTGAGGAGTGAGGAGGATGTACAACCGAACGTGTGCGGGCGTCGAGAAGCAGCGTCACCCATGGTTTTCACATCCATATCTTGCGCATGGTTGTCATAGCAATTGCACAACAATAGGCCATGACCAGACCACTCAAAATCGAATATATTCCGCTTCTCCGTGCCCCTACAATTATAAGTCCAGGAGGCAGGTGGTAGAGAGAGAGAGGCAGACAGACAGAGAGATATACCCGCGGGAATAGAATACAGAAACATGTTTCGAATCCTGTGTGTGGATGCACATGAATTCCATCGAGCTACATTATCTGTCCCGGGGAGACAAAAGAGACAGACCGGGCATATACTACACCAAAAAGTCGAATCCTCCCGTGTGTGTGTGTACGTAGTACATGGATCCGCTGAGCTATATCTGGCCACGCGGATGACGGCAGAGACCGCAGACTCGAATCGACCGTAGGATCACTGCGGACCTGGCTGGTTGCCGAGCAACAACTGCTGCACCTTGCATCTTATATCTGGGGTGTATCGCACGATCATGTTTCTTATTGGGACATTTCTTTTGTTGTGGCCGAGATTGAGCTGAGTTTCTTAGCCCTGTTTTCTTATTTTTCGTGAAATGTTGAGCCTCTTTCTCTTCACATAATTTTTCTTAATTGCGGGCCCGGTCTGTATGTACGTATGTGTGTGTGACCCGTGCTGGTGGACAAGAAGTGCGTGTGTACCACCTCCAAGGGACATACTTGTTGGCACACAGCAGTTGTGAGACATCCAGCAGCAGCTGATTGACGCCGTCGTTGTGTCCGTGTGTGCGGCCCGTCCGGGTGACAGCAGTGCGTGTATGCGTGCCACAGGCGTTTGCTGGCACACAGCAGTCTGGTGGGGGACACCACATCTGATGTGGGAGATGCATCACAGAGTCATGCGCATCGGGCGCAGGGGTCATAAAGTCCACACAGCAGCAGTAGAGAGGTATGTATATGTGTATGCTATGTGCCAGACGCACGCAGCTGATTCAACGCCGTCGTTGTGTCACGTGTGTGTCACCCGCGCTGCTGGTGGACAGCAGCGCGTGCATGCGATGTGCCAGGCGCTGAGTGCCCCCGCCAGGAAAAGGGCATGCGTGCTGGCACACAGCAGGTGGTTGTGGGACACAGCAGTAGAGTCGCTAGACTTGAAGAGCAGACGGCTTGTAATCACTTGAGTTGGGTATTGAAGGGTTGGGCTGGGTTCGCTCTCGGGGGTGGTTGGGTTTGGTTTGGTTGGGTTGGTTTTGGTTGCGTTTTGGTTTGGTTTTGGTTAGGGTTGGTTAGGTTAGGTTGGGTTGGGTTGGTAAAATCACTCGAGTAGAGCATTGACTCTTTGTGACACAAATTACTTGAGTTGAGTATTGACATATTGGTTGGGGTTGGGTTGGGGTTGATTCGCCGCCGTCGCTTCGTCGTTCGTCGCCGTTGGGTTGGGTTGGGTTGGTAAAATCACTTGAGTAGAGTATTGACTTTTTGTGACAAAATTTACTTGAGTTGAGCGTTGACTTTTTGTAACACAGGTTACTTGAGTTGAGTATTGATTCCTGTCACACAAGTTACTTGAGTTGAGTATTGATTTCGGTCACATTATTGACTTGATTTGAGTAGGAAAATTTCGGACAATATTTCGTTCTTGCTTGCTTTCTTGCCGGATTGTGCTGGTAAAACCCCAATTTACAATTGGGGAACAAAAACTGTGTAGACGTAAGGATAGGGGCGTTGGCACCACCGTGAGATCGTTTTTCAAAAAACCAAAAAAATCCTACTTGAATAATATTGCACAACCAAGGCAACTCTCCGACGGTGTGAGCACAGTTTGCCAATGTCAACAAATAGCTCTTGCTTGACGTCGACAATACATCAGCAACAATGGAAGTCTGATGGTACGGTTCAATGCCATGTAACAACATTGCGACAAACTTATTTGGTCG